AAGAGCGTCTGTTGCGCTCGCGGAGACGAAATAGTTAAGAGAGATAACTCCGGCGACAGGTATGCGGTTATTGATGCAAATCACGCGGCGATTATCGGCGTGGAAACTTTTTCACGGAATCGCGATGCCGGCCGCGATGCGACTCGGATTCTCGCCCAACCAAGGACGGTAATTAACTTTTTTGCAAGACAGCGTACGTGAGCTTCCGCTCACGTGTTGCACAAGTCTAGTTTTACAAAGTCACTCAACTACGCATTAAAGCCGGTGATGCTTCGCGGAAGCAGAACTTCTCGCGGTTCGCCCGACGAGTTTTCGTCGTGTGACACACATCGGAGTGCAACCTCTTTTACAAGAGTTGTCGGCGCATAGAAACACTCGGGCTAAGCCATTTCCCCTGTTCAAAGGAAGCAGCTACATTGTACTCGCTCGTGTACGTCCATTGTCATCGTCCGCTAGTTTCGTGCTTCGTGTCGCAATCATCGCGAGTGAACCAAGTGCCCAAGGTCAACTTGCGGGACGCGGCACTTTTTTGCTCCTTCACGACAGAATCGCACCACCTCGCGCGCGTTTCATCTCACGCGTCCTCGTCCATTACCCAAAATATCGACAACTGCGCGAGCCGTATACTTAAAAAATGGACGAGCAAAGTTGGTGAGTTCGGCTCGGCCTTGCTTTCCCGAGGGCGTGGCTATCGACCGGCATGTTTAAAGACCACTTAGTGGACCGTTCAATGTAGATGTTTCATGACGCATCATGGCTACGTCGCGGGAACGAGAGAGAGAGAGAGAGAGAGAGAGAGAGAGAGAGAGAGAGAGAGAGAGATTATAATGCCTTATTCGAGAACGGAGTAGATAGCGGTATCGATCGTAGAACGAATCCGAGCGCGGAGGGTAGACAGCTTGACGGGAGGCTTTCAAGGGGCTCGTACACGTCGAGTGCAGAAAGTAGAACGTTCGCGAGAAACGCACAAGTTTCGGGATTAAAGCGGCGGGCGCGGTGTGCGGCGCGCCTTCGCGTTCGCGTTCGCTCGCGAGTGACGCCCTGTAATTTCCAAGAGCGACGCGAGCGAGTGCAAGCACGGCCGGGACAGCAGCCGCGAGTAGAACGATGGTGGTCGTGACGGTGATGGTGGTGGTGGTGGTGGTGGTGGTGGTGGTGGTGGTGGTGGTGGTGCTGTCGCTGCCGTCGCTGCCTCCGGCGGCAAGCCGTGGAAATGGGGGTAGTGGTCGGGTTTTACGGGGGTAGAAACTTCACGGGCGCATTCGACCCCTCCGTCGCTGACACGGAGGGGGTGAATGTGGCCTGCGAGTGCAGCGGGCATGCGCAGCCTGAAACCGAAAGTGCACGCCCACCCGGGGCAATGCCGCCCCTGAACCTAGACCTACACCCCCGCTCTCCGGCACCCCGCGATCAACCCGGTGCCCCTAACCTTCAAAACCTCCAACCTCTAACCAGGCGCCACTCACCCTCCTCCAACGAGAGAGCCCCGGCTACCCCGACCGACGCTGTTCCGCGTCCGCGTAGCTGCAACCGAGGCTCCCAGGAAAACTCTCCGCGCGCGCCCTCAGGACTCTCGTGTGCCCGGGGGTGAAAAATGAATGCGCGCCGGCAGCGTAACAATGACGACTTGGATTACGTGCTTTATTGCGTTTCTGATGAGAATGGATGTTAATGCAACGCCGTGGATTCGATAATAGAAGAGTAGAGTGCTCTCTTTCTCTCTTGCTCTCTTTCGCTCCTCCCCGTGCTCTCTTTCCCTCGCGTCTCATGGTACGTGTCCAATTACGCTGCCCCGCGTGAGAATTCGTGAAAAAACATTTTTTCTAGTCTGCGAGTTTTTCGGGGTCTTCGCTACCATCATCGTTATGCAAAAGCGATTAGACAATCCCTTCACATTTATCCGTGTCATATGCACGATATTTCGAACGTGTTTTATCGTGCGTCTTTTTAGCGATGTCTATAGTCGATTGGGGCGGTTCTCATCACCGCTCATCACCGACGAGTCTCAAACATTGCAGTTTTATCGCTCGAGTTTGCAAGTGAGAGATGCTGCACAACATCGCTGCGACACAATGTAAAATTTAAACACGCCTCGTCATACTCGCAGTCATCGCGACGACAACACACATCGCCGCTGATAACACACGCAGGTTCTCTTGAACAGAGAATAAATACCAGCGTGCCAACGTTCTCGGCGACGCAAGAAAGAGAAAAGGAAGAAAGAACGAGAGACAAACCGCGTCGTCGCAGGAAAGAACGTAGAAACTTCCTTTCACGTCGTTGTCTCGACTTTTCGGCCACCCCACCACTACTTCCGATTCACCCTCGAAAGGGCGGATTTTTAATAGCGCGCCCCGGTACACTTCTTAATGCGCGAATGGGGATGGGTGCGTGTTCTTTTCAGTGACATCTGGTTCCTTATACATCCGAACTTGTCTACCTGCACCTCCCCCTTCCCCCCTCCCATCCTCCCTCTTTCCTTTTCTCGGTTCCGCTCCCTCCGGCGTACAGCGTCATGTACCGGCTAAAGCCTCATTCACGGTCACCGTCCTAGAAACCCGAACCGATCAAAACAGCTTTTTCACGGGATAGCCCTCTCGAGAACGCTGGATTATCCTTTCTCTAACCCTCCCTTCTTTCCTTCTCCTCTCTCTCTCAGCCTAACCGCTGGCACAGCGGTGGTTCTCTCGCGTCTAACCATCGGCGAAATTCGGCTACCGACTGACCTGAATTCCCGCTCGCGAACGTCGCGCGGCATTCTCGGTTCTTGTACAATATTTACACGATACAAATGACGGGGCTCCAGCGTCGACTGGCGAATCAGATTCGTCTCTGACGTCACGTACAATATGCTCGAGTGCGATGTATAAGCATCCACTCGGGCGCGCGCGCGCGAGCTTTGTTATTTATCGCCATAGCTGGGTATTTATTACAGAAGGATTCGATACGTGAGAACGAAATGTTCTCGGAACGCGTCGTCGAGATTCGACGTATTCGTTCGCCGTTCACGATCGCCGTCACGATCCCGATTGTTTGTCCGCTCGACAGCCGTGCTTGACAAATCGTCGCGATGTGCCGGATAGATTCGTCAAATGCGAGCTTTCCAGCGCAGGGGGTTACGCTCGAACCGGTTGTAATAATAAAATTGAACACGCAGCTGAAACTTCCGCCGATCGAAACAGACACATATTGGCGTGTGTGTGTATGTGTGTGTGTGTGTGTGTGTATGTGTGTGTGTGTGTGTTGGAGAATAATTTCAGATAAATATTATTAATAGCCTAAAAAGCGGTCGCGCTTAAAGGCTTAAAGGCTCGTCATTGTAACTTGATAGCGACGCATTAATTTAATTTACAATCGCACCAACGTCAGAATGAGGAATGTATGCTTGCAGAGCGTGTGTATCAGGACAGCATGAAATGCGCGTGCGCGCGGTTAACATCGAATATTATTCCGTGTTATTTTTACCGTCATCGGCAATATACGGCCCCATGTCGCATGTGAATTGGGCGGTCTCGAGTTTCGTAACAGCTTTACGATCGCCGATAAAATTATGCAACGTAATCTAATACGTATCTCGTTTCGCTTTGTCGCTGACGCCGGCCCGATGCGTAGTTTCGGTCGAAAACACACGAGGCTGCGACGGGTAAACAGAATCGACGCCTCGCGTCGATTTATTACGTATGGTCGATAACTACTGGAAATGCGAAAACAAAAATGATGTACCGTCGCGTCGCGTTTCAACAGGTTCTACGTGATTGGCTCGTTATAGTTCTGCGTGAGCAAACAGGAGGGAGGAGAGAACAAGAGTTGTGTAAAATTGTAAGATTGGCTGCATTGTGTAATCTTGATAAAGTTTCACTTACCGAAGACTGTAATGCTGTAGCGATGAAATAGGGCCTCATGAATTATTCATTCGCTGGTCCACTTTATTGGACACTACTTCATTATTGTGGACTTGTCATATGATCGTACTATATCTATCTGATAGATCATCATGGATAGATGTATCATGATGATGAAAGATATTGATTGATTCACATATGGAAGAGGCTCACATCAAAATTGGATGTATTTCTTGCATCAATTTCAGTTGCATTCATCAGTTGTAATATAGCTCTATATGTATATAATCTTCATATTATATATATATATATATATATATATATAAAATAATTTGTAGGTGCAGATAGAAAGAGAGCGAGCACAGTATCACGTGGCATGCACTTTACCAAAGAATTATCATCCGACACGTAATCTCATTTTAGTGTTGATAGCAACACGGGGAAGCTCGACGAATCTGCTACCGAGAAGAAAGATATTTTTATGCAACCCGTTTCATGTACAAGTAACAATATTTTATAAAGTACAATAAACGTCAAAAGAAATCTTCGCTGTTAAGGATGCTTTTTTCGCAGATAAGCCAAACGCTCGATAAGCGTAACATTTGTATGTTAAATCAGAACGTTGTTTGTGCAACTCTCTCGCTGACACTTGCGATAACACGAGTTCGCAAAAGAAAGAGAGAGAGTGAATCGAGTAATGACAGACGACGACGTCTCCGATTTATTCGATCGATGAATGCATTAACGTATTTTCAGATATAAATTTCTCGACAAATACTAGATATAGCCTCTTGCTATCTCGCACCAATACATCCCTACTTTATCGGTGCTTGATACACATTTATTTAGTTCTATCTCAGTGTTTTGTTGTCGTCGTCTAAAAGCTATCTCTATCGAACAAGAGTGTCGGAGAGACCGACTCTCGTCGGTCTTTTCTTGAAAGTTCTGATCGGCAACTTTAAAAGTAGTGCCTGCGAGACGTGTTTTCGATGAAGCGAGCGTGATTCAAATTAGAATTTACATCTAGAGAACTCCTACCTGGCTAATCGCGTGGGTTGCCTTATACGAGTTTCTACAATGTGCAATTAGCATAAATCGGGATTCCGCGAAAGCGATTTCGTGCGGACAAATGGATGGAATGGTTTCGTCGAGACTTACCTGGATATGAGATGTGACTTTTGCGGCTCGTAAATATCTCGGTCACGATCGTGGATATATATACCCATAACCGCGTCGTCGAAGCTGCGAAGCCAGATCGTTCAGATCTCTCGTCCAAGTCGACGCAGCGAACAAAATCTGCAAAAAATATTTATTGTTTTGTAACAAGGCCGTTTATCTCGTAACCTGTACAAATAACCGAGGGACTCTACGAGAGCGAATGTAGCGCTGCTCTGTCGATTGTCGTATAACCTCGCGGTAAGATCTCTATGAACGGGTTTGTTATTAAAGAGCAGTAAGACGAATACGCTACGAAAGATGCGCGCTTTTATACGACTCTACGGGCGAAATACCTCGGCTTGCTCGGCTCTCGCCACAACATGGCTGCTGTGCTTCGTCTCTTGCGCTGCATTTGCATCTGCATAGATGGACTTACATGGTGGATATATTTCGCGGCACACACACACATTTGGCGAATTTACGACGTACGACCTGCGGGATTTAGCGGCGCGTAAATGCGTACACACGTAATGAGAAAAACCAAGTGCGTAGATATTTGCGCGGAAGATAATGTAATTTCTGTTAACGCGCGCGCGCGCGCGTCCGCGCCGTCCTGATTCATTAGCGACGTGGACGACGTGAAGTTGTTCACGTACACCCGCACGCGCGTACCAAGCTGCGTGCACATACACACGACGCCGCTTCAGCCTAGTTACTTTATCTTCGTCACGATGATGAACAAATATGTCGAGAAAGAAATAACATCAGCTAACAACAGCGTAATGTAAGTTATTCTTAAATCAGTGTATATAGAGTGTTATTTAAGAAACACGCGCCGCGCTTTCGCAGCGTGCTTCTCCGTAGCAAAGTTACGAGAAAATCGAGTAAGTTTCTGTCTCACGACAGCAAACGAAATCTCATTGAAATACGGAATTTCTTATTTTAACCGTGTTTACTCCCGCGTGCGGATAAAGCGTCGTGTCACCTTTGAAGCTTTCGAGGCATCGCCTCGCGTCTCTGTTTCCACTTTATTCGGGCTTTGGGTATCTAACCCGGGTATAATGTGTTGTATCGCGCGATATATACGACGAGACAAGAAGAGTAAGTTCGTGTCACAAGTGTAATGTGAAAGAGAGGAAGTGTCTAAACTCACTTGTCCAAACGACGAAGAAAGACCGAGCGCTTGTACACAAAACATGCGCAACTGCACGTCGTCGTCGACGTCGATTGGCTTCAGCAAGCGGTCCAATCAATACAAATTCAATTCAAATTTAAATTTCAAACTTCTTACCTCTCATTGGTCGCCTCATAGTCGCTCGGTCGGTACCAAGTGGCAATAGTGCCTGCAACGATCTAACCTCGTTCAACAAATCATTCGAGCGATCCTAACCTAACCCAACACCTAACACACAAATGACACAGTCACGTTAATATCTGTGAATCAATAATCTGTGGCTCAATCGATCGAGCGCGCACTAATCCATTCATCGCGAGCGAAACGTAATTCCGTGGCGATTGCCTCATACTTACTTGATTCAATCCACGGCTCCACGGGTGAGATATTCCGGATATGAAACCAACACAGGGCCCGGCGTTAGCCCCGTACACGATGCTGCGTTAAATCCGCCCGGGCTGCTCTCGTCGTATCGCAAAACGTACGTACGCACACGCACACGCACACGCGTGCGCACACACACACACACACACACACATGACGCGCGCGTACACACAAACGGCCTCGAATTATATTCGCGGGGCTGCTCGCTCCGGGTTCGAAAAGTAAAACGCGTGTCGCGTATGTGCAGCGCGCGGGTAGGCGCGTGCGAGGGAGCGAGACGCCGCCGCCGCGCCGGCGAGGAAGCAAGCGAGACGGAAACAACGCGGTACCGCCGGTCGCGCGACGGATAGAAAGAGACGACGGCCGACAAAGACGGCACACGGGCGTAGCAGGGAGCGGCGGCACGAGAGCGAGCGAGAAAGAGCGATCCTGCGTCCGCTGAGCGGCAGTGTGCGCTCGACGGAGGGACGAGAACGGCGCGCATCGATTGGCGCGCTAGCCGTGACCCCCACCATGATGCTTTCGCTTTCACCCAATGGGGCCTCACTTTCGCGCTCGCCCGCGTTCGGCGCCACGGCAGCCGGCACGCTGTGTCGCCGCCGGTTCTCTCAGTGACTGGTGCACCCTACGTGCGAGCGAGCGTTTTTCGTGGTGGGCTCGTCCGTCTCGTCGGGAGAGTAGAGAAAGAAAAAAGGAAAACGCAAAGAGAGGAAAGCGCGGAGTAAGAGAAAGGGGGAGGGAGAGCGAGCGAGAGAGAGAGACAGACAGTGAAGAGCCTCGGTATCGTGTGTAACACAACGTATGTGCGCCATTCGCTCATAGACGTAACGTCGGCCGTAAGTAAGTGTGTCCGTTTGAATCGTCGTAACGTACAGCTTGGTTAGAAATCGCGAGACGCGCGCGCGCGCGCGTGCGTTCCGTCGGAAATTGCGTTGCACGCCGGGCGGCGCGTACCGCGCCGGTGACCCTGACATTCGAGAAGCCGGCGAGACACACTCGTTGCCTCGCGCGCGCAGGAGCAACATCGTGGTGCGTGGTTCGAATCGTGGCGGCGGCGGCGTCGTCGTCGTCGCGTCGCGTCGCGTCGTCGTCGGTGCCGAGTGACGGTGACGAGCGAACGAACTGAAGTGAGCAGCGGAAATATTCGAGATCGCGCGCGCGCGCGCGAGAGAGAGAGAGAGAGAGAGAGAGAGAGTGAGAGGGGGGGAGGGAGAGAGAGAGAGAGAGAGAGAGAGAGAGAGTGTGAGTACTATCCACCGTGCCGTGGTGCCGGCCGGTGTGTGTATGTGTGACGAAGGTCGGGACTCGCGCGCGGCCATTACGTACGTCGTACGTGTACCGGAACTTTGGATTCGTCGCGCGACGCAAAGTGACCTTGATTCCGATGCGCCAACGCGTCGCCGGCAACACGGAAGAAGAACATCGTCGCCGCCGCCGCCGCGTAGTACGGTGTGTATTTCTCGCGCCACCCATCGCGGCGGTCTTGTTGTGACGCGTGACGACCACAGTGACCTTGACTCCGTACGCATAGACGCGCGCGGTGCGTTTCGGCGGCGTCTCGATTCTCTCTCTCTCTCTCTTTCGTCGAGAGTGGAACGCGCGCGCGCTGCGCGCACCTCTTTCTCGTCGAGTCGAGTGAGACGTGAGAATCTACCGTGAACATGGAGAGAGCATGTAGTAGGAGCAACTGATTTTCGAGATCGGAGATCGCGCAACGCATCGCGCGCGCGTCGACCACCGCGTTCTCCGCCGCCATTGCGCCCGCCCGCCCGCCTCTCCGTCTGTCTCTCTCTCTGGAGATCGTTCATCTGCGAAGTACGACGAGCGAGAATCAGTCAAGAAGAGGACGACACACACACACACACAATCTGGACGTGAAACTCATGGCACCGCGCCGTCACGCCAATAGCCACGGCGGTGGTCTCCTGGAGAACGGAGGCGCCGGTGGAGGCGGTGGCATCAACGATCCCATGGAGAATCTTCTGGGTCCCAGTCAGACGACGCGTTGCTGCACGCCGACCGGTGAGTGCCTACGCGGCGACAGTCTCATCCGCTTCAACTCGTTGCACGACGTGGTCAAGGTCACTTGCAACAACGACAACTGCCCGGTCGGCCAGTTTATGCATCGCGAGTGCTTTGACGCTTGGGAGCAGACGGTGCTGACGTATCTGAAGAGCTGCGGTCGTGCGCGCAGCTGGTCAGAGCGTCAGCGTCATCAGAACCTCTGGACCAAGAAGGGCTACGATCTCGCGTTCAAGGCCTGCGGCTGCCGCTGCGGTCGCGGCCACCTGAAGAAAGATCTCGACTGGATGCCGCCCGGTCTCGGCAATATACCCGGCAACCGTGCCGACGAGAACGAGGCGAAGAAGAAGAAGCGGCGCAACCGGCAGAACACCCGACCGAGTCTGGCTGTCTCTGCCGGGCCGCCGAGTCACGTCGGCAATCACGTCGTCTCCACGAGCGGTCGCGGCACCACCGAGGCTCAGATGATCGAGTCGGGCCGCGGTAGAGCGGGCTCCCTGTCGTCCAGCACCGGCTCCAGCTCGCCACCCGCCACCAGCGAGCCCAGCGTCAGCCCGCTCCATCAGCCGCAGGCCATCATCAAGAAGAAGAGCAAGGTCGATTTCTTCAGCGATCGTGCCAGGTGAGTACCCTTGTCGCATTCAGCGCGCGCGCGCGCGCGCGCACGGCCAGTTCTTCATTGTTGTGTTGAGCGCGCTCTGGGCATAGCGTCATTTTTCGCCAATATGTTTTGCCGAATATCGCGGCGAGATATTGCTTTATCCTATTTGTAACGTGTATCGTAACAGCTCCTCAGTACAGTTGCTCAATAACGTCGCTCGGCGCGACGCATTGGTGATAACAGCGTCATATTTTGTCGAGCGCGAGTTCATTGTTGCCCAAGTGCGAATTTCACGAGTTCTCGCGACACGTGTTGGTTTCTTTTTTTCTTTTCTTTTCTTTTCTTTTGTTTTCTTCTTTTCTTTTTTGTCATACGCTTGAATTTAATTTCCGTGGATAACACAATACCTCGCGGAGATTTGGTCGCGAATGACAGTTTGGTGCGACAATGTATCGTACTTTGGTTCGCGTACAAACATGAATTATACAAACAGTAATTATCGTCTCGCAGTGGACGTAGCTTCGAGTACGTCGAAATGTTTGAACTCGGGAATTGTGGCGAGTGAAGAATCTGTCGAACTCCGTTCGACGCACATTTTCGCGGCAAACCGCGCGCCGTAGCGAAAAAACACGAAACACACGACGTGTAAACACTTCAGAAAGAATGATAAATGACAAGAAACACGACGTGAATCGTTTCCCCGCCGGGAACCTTCGCCGCGTGTCATTGTGTAGGTGTATCTTCCGAGACAGGCGATACCTTAAAGGAGACGCGTGAGAATGAAAATCGTAAAGACGCTATTAGGACTTTTTGTTCGAAAGAGACGTAATTCGTGAAACCGCAGAATGCGAGACCGGACGGTGCAGAAGCCGAGAAAAACGCGTGAAAACATCGTTTACTGCACAATGGAGCGTAGCGTAAAAACTGGGCGTGGTCGTCAAGGCATCGAATGTATTTTTCTTCCGCGCACCGACGTCGTCGAAACGGTTGTTGCAAGGGCTCCTTAAATACCTAAAAAACAGAGGAATTCGGAATATTTACCAGCGGCAAGTAATACATTTCTGTGTGAAAATAAACGGCCAAGATAGAGATCCGTATAAATATATTCCACTTGGGAATTTAGAAATTGGAAATGCTGAGAGAAGTACTTCATACTTTGGATATTACGCGATATATGTAGGTAGGTATTCGAGGAGGCGCAGGCATGCATTCCGCGTTGTTGGAGAGCCTTGTGCAAATCGGAATTTGGTACTCGACTTGCTACTTCGTTCGCTGTTACGCAATCGTATTTCACCGAACTACCGCTAATCCACCGGTCGTCTTTTTTACGAGTTTGTCACTCGCCGTATTTATGGTCTCTAAATATTTAGATAAGAGCGTAGCACGCAATTTTGGTCGCGGCAGATGGTGCCCAAGCGGTGAGTAAAACGATCTGCGCGCTCGATTCTCGGGTTCAAGGACAAGGCGGTACTTTTAAGGATACAAAAAAGGGAAGTTTGAAAGGCCTCCGCTGAAGGCGGCGCGCGCGCGGTGGATATATACCGCACACCGACGTTGACGTTCACGCGCGTTGCGTGCGCTCGAGCGTGCGTTGAGATATATCTTCTCGGGAGATCACGAAACAAGATGTGCTGCTCGGCACTTTCTACGGGACGAGAATCGATTCGTCGTTTCGTGAGGAAATTCGACACCGACGATTTTTTACGCCGCCCGGCGCCGAATCTTAGCTCAATTTGCCGACAGTCATCGCAGAAATGACTTATTCCACTTTCTCTAACACCATAATCGCTCGTTACTTTCGCCAGAGCGCCGCGATCGGTTTCACCAAATTCTAAAATATGCGTTATGCCCAACAGCCATAACTTGAAAATACTGAATTTGCAACGCTGCACTGTACCGACTGATTGATGAATAATACGTTACATGTGTATTTTTTTTTTTTTTTTTTTTTTTTTGGAAGCACACACCGAATTGCTTCGTAATCAATATTGCATAGTGCCGTAATTACCAACGCCTTATTTAGTTCTCGTATAATCTGTTTTTGAAGACAAATATTCTATAGTGACTTTGAGATTACATCTCTCTCTCTCTCTCTCTCTCTCTCTCTCTCTCTCTCTCTCTCTCTCTCTACAGAAAACAGAATCAAGTCTCACACAGTCCGAAGCAGCAAAAGCCGCCTCGCGCCGCGCGATTATCTTCGACGTCGTGAAACGCAACTTGTTACGTTTGTAACTCGGTCTTTTTACGCGACGCGCGAGTTTCGATTTACGTTGGACCGTTTCTACTTTCGCGCGGTGGAAATAACAGAGGCCGCGCGGCGCTGTGTGTGTCGCGTCGGAGGAAACGAAAAGAGAGGCGAGCCGATTGTTCCGTCGTAAAGCAACACTCTAGACGCGCGCGCGAGAGAGCATGAATGAACGCCGGCGACCGTTTTCTCTCGCGGCGCGTAGGTCGCTCTAGAGGTTGCGAGCCGGCTGTGTGTACACGCTATAGGTTGCTCTAGACCTCGGGTAGAGAGCGAGAAGACGAAGGGCAGGGAACACGACGATTACGACAGCGCTCCACCCATAGTACGCGCGCGCGCTCCGTGTGTGCATCCTATATATAGATGCAACCTTGGAAACCTGTCCTATTTCTGTTTATGTTCCTCCAGTTCGATGGGTCGGGAACCCCTCGTTGGTGTGCTGCGCCTCTCTCCGCCGCGCGTTCGAACACGCACAATTTTTGCAGACTTCTGACCTCCCGTCTGTTTGCGCGATTAAGAGTCTCGCGATGAATGCGAAATATCTTGCTAAGCGCCGCTCGCAGATAAGCGAGAGCGCGCAAGAGAGCGAGCGAGAGAGAGAGAGAGAGAGAGAGAGATGAGATTGAAAATGTGTGTTTTACAACTGCGAGTCTTTCGAAAATCTTTGACTCGGCGATCCCATAAGCTGGAGCCGTTTCATATTTATTCATTCTTTTTAATTCGGGAGTTTGTGTGCGGCGGGAGAAAAGGTAGATTAAATATTATCGTATATATATATAACGCCTGAGATTTCTTTTAAATATGAACTCTCTCGTAAACGCGTGAGCGTTATTTATTCTCTGTGTAAGCGTCCTCCTCTTTCGCTGCTAACGAAGAATCTCGTGGTTGCTTGCCGCTCGATCGAGAGAATCTTCTTGGAAATTCCTTCAAATTTTTTACTTAGGGATTGTCGCGCTCGTAGCGCGACGTCATACTCGAACTAAACGAGAAGGACGATTCCACGCTACGTTCGAACGTATAACAGTGACCGCGAGAGCCCGAGTTTCGGATCCTGGTTTCGTTTTCGTTCCGGACGTAGTTGGGCGGGACCTCGGGGCGAGTGCACGTGCACCGGGAGATACAGCCGGCGAGTTTAGGTTGCTCGCGCGCGAGTAGCGGCTGGGACCCGTTGTACTTTGTTGTGTGCGTGCGAGCGAGCGAGCGAGCGAGCGAGCGTGAGTGAGCGAGCGTCGGTCGACACACGAGGAGAAGAAGGAGAAGAAGACGAAAGGAAGAGAGGGAGGGGGGTTGGGGGAGAGGAGGAGGAGGAGGAGGAGGAGAGGATGCTTGTAACCTTGACCGTGGCCACCTTCTCAGGGCCACCGAGCGAGGAGGAGCCTGAACGCTCTAGCAGCTTCCAAGGCCAACAGCATGGAATCACGCCACTGCGCGATGCATTTAAAGAGGCAGAGAGAGCGTCGTGTGGATGCTGCTAAAAATCGCGCTCGGTTTCCTCCCGTTGTCTCCGCTCGCGCGTTGAAAAATCCTCCGTTAAACTTCTGTACTCGAATGCGTTAAATACCTCGCAAATGTCTCGAACTTCGCCCGGCACTTTGTGCGCTGTTTGTTCTCTTGTACCTCTCGGGGCTCTTTTTCTCTCTCTCTCTCTCTTTCTCCCCCCCCCTCTCTCTCTCTCTCTCGGGGTTACTTCGCGGTTCACGTAATGTCTTTTGAGGTTTGCTACTTTGAAAGAAACTGCGCACTCGGCAGACACGGCCGTCTGTTTACCGCGAGAATAGTTGGCTGAATTTTGTGAATTCTTCCATAACTGAGAATGAATTATATAGCAAGTTTCTCAGACGTGACATAATAGGCGTCGGCTCAGACTGCGAGCGAGCGCCCGGTCGCTCGAACCAACTGGATTCTTGACTTGGTGTAGAAATTTCATTAAGGCCTTCGCTCCTCGTGTTTTTCCATTTCGTAGAAGTAGATAATACGACGGCGCGCGCTCAATGAGCAGCCATTGTGCGCTTATTGTCTTTATTTGTAATCTCGCCTAATGTCGCGTCCCCCTCCCGCCCGGCGCGGCGCGGCGCGGCGCGGCGCGGCGGCGCAAAATTTCGCGGGTCCGTAAATTTTCCGCGCGAATTCCCTTTGTCCTGGATACCGTTCCAGTCCTCCTGACACATTCGCCGCGTTTTATGGCCACCAATTAAAAGGAGGAGCCGCGGATAAAGTTCGTAAAGGTGAACTCACACAGTTGCGCGACGCGTGCTCTCGGCACGCCGTAGCTTTGGGATTCTCTCTCGATACTCGACGCGACTATGGGCCAACCTTTAATCCTAAATCTCGCGGGCGGGTTGGCCTTGCTCGAGCCCAGGGACAACACACACACGTAGATTACGAATTCGGCGGAGGATCGTTATAATGCGTATAACGTAACAACGAGCGAGCGAGAGAGGGCGTTGAGACCTCCGCCCCTTCCGCCCGTTGCGCAATATCAGGGCGCTATTCTCGGAATTGTTGCGCCAATTTATACCGCGTGCGTGGTTGCGGCTCCTCTTCGGACTTTTGTCCCTCTCCCCCCCCCCCCACGGCCCCTCCTCTCCTCTCGATGCTTCTACACCGGCTATTACGGACATCTTTGGAGTCGCCGCGCGCGACCTATAAATTTCGCTGTTGCTGGTGCGCGACGCGAGCTCTCTCCGAGAGGGCTCGGATTTTAACTGAGAATAAATCGCGGACGAAACGTTCCTCCGCAGCTATTCGCAGACGTTTACTCCCCTCGCAGAAAGCG